TGGCACAAACATATCTGGTGTGAACAGAAACTGTTCCAGCTAAAATTTGGGGTTTACTTTCGTTAGATAGGAAAATATTTGGCTCTGGTCAGGCCTGTATTAGGCACAAGAGCCCCTAAGCATTTATCTATATATAACAGTTAACAGTTTGGTTATGCAAATATGAAGTGTTTCCTGAGTTTCCTGAATGTTTGCCTTTTGTAAAGCTCACCTGCTCTTCTGGAGCTTTAGATGTTTGATATAATAATTCCAATGTGCTGTATGGAACAGAGAATGGATGAGAAAGAATGGGGGCTAAGAAAAAGGAGAAATTAGTGGAGATGACAGAGAGAAGGTAGAAGTCACAAAGCAAAATCAAGTAGAAGAAAATAGAAAGACAAAAGAGTACATCCAGGAAGTAGCTTAGCATAAGCCTGATTCACCTCTTGTATAACTGCAAACAAAAGAAATAAAAGTGGGAATACGGAACGCTGCATTCCCACTTTCGTTTCTTTAGCTCGGATGTATCAGCTGCAGCACTTCTCGCACGGTGTGTGCTGGGAAGGCCAGTCAGGGGAAGGAGGGGCAGAGCCAGGCAGCGATCACCTGCAGGGAACACGCGTGTGCCCTTCTCCTGTCGCTTTCCCCTGTATCCCCCGCCCGCAGCCGCGCAGCTGCCGCTGACTCGGTCGGTCCGAAGCGCTCTGGTCTCTGCGGCGGGCTGGGACAGCTGCTGGCACTTTCCAGCTCCATCCCCAGCAACAGCCATGGGGGGGGGACATGGCCTTAGAGCTGTCCGTGGGGACTGGGGTGCGATGTGCTGCACACGAGGGTCGGCCAGGGACTACATGCGCTGCGGTGGTGCTGCCGACAAGAAAGATGATGGGGCCGCATGGGCTGGCAGAATTCCTTCCAGGCGGCTCCAGCCATGCGGGCTGCGGAGGTTTCTGCCTGGCTTGGATTAAGGAGTTGTTTAGGGATCTGGGGCAAACCAGTAAAACAGGCTGACGAATCCACACGCTAGGTGCCAATCTGGGTTGCTGCTTTTTTCGGGAGTAAACAACTAGGAGCCATTGTTCATCTTCCTAACTCTCTGCAGGACACAGGCTGTAAATTACATCCAGGAACAAAAGCTTGATGGGAGTAGAACCGGGCGCCCAACTTCCCAAGGGAGTGCTTTGCCCTCCAGCCAGAAGAGCAGCTTTTCTTGCTTAAACCAGCGCAGGCTCTTCTTATGCCTTCCCATCCCCACGAAAAGTGTGCAGTTCAAGATATGCCACACTGGCACATTTACAACCGTTGCCATTACAAAGCCTGTTTTCAGGACTGATAATGTAAATTAAATCTACTCCGAAATTGAATCCAGTCTGAAATGCAGGAAACCAGATTGCAGTCTAGGGACATGGAGGAAATCTTATTAAAAATAGCATATTTTATTGATATTACAGATAAGTGGGTATGAAATCCTCCCTACTTCCCCAAATCTGATTTTCAGCCAGTCTCACAGATCACCCGTAGTCTACACAAAATATACACAGCCATGAGCAGAACTACCTAATGACATTTGTGCTTTTTTTATATTCACTAAGACCAGTTGCTGTTCAACTCCCCATAACAAGCTTGAAATATTCACCAAGTTATGCTCAGAAAATTATATTTTTGATTTAAAAAAATAGTATTTCTGCTGATAATAGAAAAAAAAATAAAATTAGGAGATCTGTTTTTTTTAAAATGTTGAGGCTTCAGAAGACAAATGCCACTATTTTCAAAGAAACAGAATTCCGTTCTACTCTTCTTTCAATTTCTCCCATTCAATAGTGAAATCAATCTCCATTGATGCCTTTTTTTTCCATCATAAGTACAGGTTCATTCAGGTACATCAATTTTCTTGTCTGTCCACATAATAAAATCTAAATATTCATTCTAGGGAGAGGCTGTGTCACTGAGTTCAGTGGAATTTTGTTCTTTCAATTAAGCTAGGCCAGAATTTAATCCTCTATGTGAATTCCTGCAAAAAAACCCTACTTTTTATATCATTGTAAGCTATGCATGTTCCTTCTCTAGGACTCCAGTATATGTACTCCCTAGTAGGAATTTTATCAAAATTAATTAGTGCTGGCTACAGTTCACATATGTGATAAAATCACAAATGAGTTATTTTTGTGTTCCTGTGCTATATTTTATCATCACAGATTCAGTATTCACGGTATCAAAGGTGTCACAGAAAAACACTCTTTTAAATTCTAGGGTTTTATCCTTTTTCAGTCTTATTGTTTCATTCTCTTTTGAAAACTTAATTCATTAATCATTTTACAAAATTGTGGTGCCAGTAGTTTAGCTTCTTGTTGCCAAGGAAGTAAGCAAATTCCAGATCTCAGATATTTAGCAGTACTGACAGGCTCAAAAGGGATGCTCTGCTGCATTTTTTCAGCTGAAGACTTGCTTCAGTATTTTTCTGTTCCTATGTAATAAGGTTTTCCCAAACTAAAGGAGAAGTTACGTATTTCTCACAAAGAAATCCCCCAAACAAAACCAAAACAAACCCAAAACACAAACCCCCAAACCCAACAGTTTTTCCAGAATTGTACATCTGCTTTGACTAAACCTTCTGGGCAGCGTTTTTCCCTGCAGCCAGGCCTAATTTGGACTGCTGCTGGCTACCTGAGACCAACATAAGCTGACCATGTTTGTGTGGGAAAACAGGAAATTTTTTGTGCCATTTTTTTGTTGGAATGCACATGTGTGTTCTAGGCTGCCATGTAGGCAGGCTGATGGCACGAAGAATGGCCAAACTCACATGTCCCATACAAACAGCTCATTAACTGTTTTTGTGATTTATCACATGGAATGATGTAATTATTTTTCTTGTGTAGATCTGTCTTTTCCTTTTGCATTAGGTACTAGCACCTCCATGCCCGTGGTCTAAATGTGTCTAATCTAAGCCCTATTTTTCAGGGCAACAACCCTGAGAGTCTTTCCAAAGCAGAATACCACCCACCCTTGCTGAACACATGCAGAAATTATTGAAAAGACTGAGATAAATAACAAGTAATATTTTGGTATCTAGAAAACAACCTTTACATATTCAGTTGTCAGAAGGGCTATAGAATTAGAAACTTCAAACCATGAAGACCAGGAATTTAGACTCCTAGTTATCTAAGATTCTGCCTCTATCCCTAAAATGGACGTTATTCTCCCTTTACCTGTACCAAAGAAAACTTTACTTTTTTAAAAAATTCTGTATCATTATAAATACAGGATATTAATGGAGAGGCATTTTATGTTCATAAAAAATAGGACTCAAAATTTCCTAAATTTAAATGAAATGTTTAACTATTCTGTTTCATCCATAGGACATGAGCTTTAAAAGTAACTTAGCAGTTGAAGAAAAAGATATACTTAGTAAATTTAAAGCATTCATTAACTGTGTGCCAGCATTTTGAAATCCCACTAATCTTTATTTGTGGATTTTGATGCCAAAACATTTACAGATATAAATGCACAGGATTTTACAGAACTATTTCTCTTTCCACTTTAGACAATAAGGTATATAGGAGATTGCTTTTTAATTGGTTTTAAAGCCATTAAAAAAAAAAAAAGTAGCATATTAATTAAAGAAAATGTGTTTTATCCATAATTTCAATTCAAAGTTGCTAGCTTCATAATAAAAATATACCCTGTGTTTAAAGGAAAGATTTTTACTTTAACTGTGTCCCATCAGATATTCTAGACCTGTAGGAAAAGCCTGTTGGAACCTGTTGCTAAAAATTTGCCTGGTTGAGGAAAGGATAGCCAGCCATCTCTAAGTCAAAAGGCAAAACAAAGGCAAAGTCCTGAAAACCTCTTTATGTGACCTTCTTCTGCTTGTGGCTGGAGAGACTTCTCTGTATTTTTCCGCTGTTTGTGTTAACAGAGATTAAATTAATGAGAAACTTCTTTCAAGTGGGGAGATCAACAAAATGGTAATCTGATATAGGACTATTCATTCCAGATTTGGCAAGGGAAGCTGAAATCCAGGCATTTATGGATGTTAAAGGTGAGAAGTGCTGGCTTTGGTGATCCCTGACCAACCCCTCATCCCACGGCACTGTTGCAATTTTTCAGCTCTAAAGAGAAGCCAGCGCATGGAGCCACCACGGGAAATCTCCAAGGCACACAAGAGACAAGCCTTTTGCTTATCTACAGAGGCTTTGGGGTTTTCACTAGAGGTTTCATGAAGAGCCAAACAAAACCACACACTGCAATGAACATATGTCCCTCAGGAACTGAGACCTTGTCTGAACCTCAGAGATCTGGTAACTTTTCATCCTGCTTCTCTGCTTTCTGGATTGGGAATAGGAGGAAAAATTCCTTCTGTACCTTATGCCATCAACAGAATAAAATATCAGCCTTAGTGCTCAGTATCACTCACTTCTGGCACTGGCATTATTCACTACTTTTGTTCATTCATTTCTCTTCTTGGAGCAGCATGTGCAGGGACATCAAGGGTAGAATGGGCTGTGGGAAACTGAACAGCCTCAGCTTTACCTTCTGCATGATGTTATCCTCCAGCAGTGAACAAAAACATTGCAGAAAGCTTCACTGCAGAGCAGGCATTTTACTTGCTCTTAATAGAACTGCACAAAGAGAAAATGGCAAGATAGGAATAAATAAGCAAAATATTTTTGGAAAATATCTAGGCTGATAAGATGCTTTACCGGGGTTTAGAAACTCTAATGCTTTTATGTTCACTTGGTTTGCGATAATGAAGAGATTTTAAAATGCAGGATGAAATGATTATAACAAACAGTACATTTCTGAGAGAACTCAGGGGAGATTACACAAATTTTCCTACAAGCACACTAAGTATAACTTTTGACCAGAGTAGTGTAAGAAGAGAAGGTTTAGTGGCTCTTTAAAACTCAAGTGTGCCTGCTCAGTCAGTCCTAGCTCTCCTTCCACTCCCCCTTCTTCTGCTGCTGGGTAACTTTTGTTGCAATATGGGTGTGACTTTTGATGGAGCTTCCCCCTCCCAGTTATGTCATTACTTCAGTTCCTTTGAATCAGAATAAAAAGTGCAGCAAACTTCAGACTCATTGACTGCAGGCTTAATAAGCGTTGGTGCTTTCCTTCCTTCTGCAGCTTGCAAGGATCTTTGGATTTTGCAAAACAGTTCTAAGAAAACAATGGCCAACTTCTCCTTACGGACAATTTTTGGATTATTTTTGCTGAAGCTCTGTCTAGCAGAAACAGGTAAGATTTTTATGAATGAAAGCTCTTATGATTGTTAAGTTAATGCTTCAGACAGCAAGTGTGCTTCTGCTAGATAGCTAACAGCTTTCTTGCATCTATAAACTTTACTTATTTCAAGTGTTATCAGAGATGTTTTAAAAGTGTAATCTCAGCTGTGCTGGTCTGTACAAGCACGGAAAGCTGTGTATGGCTGGTAAAGGGCAATTCCAAATCTGTAAAAACTGAATTGCAGAACATTAAAGAATGAAGTTTAAACTAGGAACAGAACTACGTCAGGGAATTCAGAATGGCTCTGGTAAAGCTCAGTTCGACAATGTGACTGCTGTTCCACACGCAGTTTGCTCTCCCAGCTCCCCTTCGGACGGCAGCGAAAAGGGGGTGGAAGGAAGGGGGTGAGCCCCCACCCCCCATCCAGCTTACAGCTGCATTCTGGAGTTTATATGAGCTGAACCAACAGCTGAAACAAAGTGCATTTGCCACAGCCTTGCTGAACAGGAGAAAAACTGCAGGGATCTCTGCTGAAATTTGGAGAGCTTTTATGCCAAGCATGCTTGCTTCTGACTTTCTAAGGTCTCTCTGGGGCTGACTGATGAGCTTTTGGAACAAAGAGGGTTAGAAGTGACAAAGTTCAGCTGTTTATCACTTACCTTCCTGCAGCTTGGTTATCTGCTTTTAATATTTGTATTTAAAAATCTAAGGTTAATACAGAGAAAAAAATTTTAAAAATTACGTCCAAAGTGACAAAAAGCTTTTGAAATTTTACATGGTGCAGGCTCAACCATGTTTTACGGGAATGACCATACTTTTAGCAGACTCTCACTGTGACTGTAACTGCCTCGAGGCATTTTATGGTTAGGGATAACAGTTGTGCTTCTATATTGTTTTTGTACTCATCAGTTCCAGAAGTCTAACAAAATGCATTTTTCATGACCATCGTCACCCAAGGGCCGTGTGCGTGTCTGTGTATGTACAGTAAATATGTGTCTCATTTGCTTGAGCAGCAGGGGATATTTCTGTTAATGGTTGCAGCGCTGCCAGGCTGTGAATGGGTGTGTCAGAGGGAACAAGTTCCCAGAGCTTCTGTGATAGCTGAAGCAACCTCATAGCTTTTCTTCCTAAAATTGTGTGTCCATTGTATCAAAATGCCCTTCTAAGATCAGGTTTACAGGCAAAGCCGTCAGAGAAAGGACAGGGCTACTGTAGGCAAGTAAGGTATGTCCAAGATGTGTTTAAATCCTTGGCTTGGTCCATGTCTATGCACTGTATAAATATTATAACTGCTTGACTGATTTTTACTTCTATGAGCTGCCTGGAGTGTCCTAGAGAGCAGGGTCTGCACTGACTCTGGGAGTAATGTGTTTTTACAGTGAGACAGAAAGCCCCATTATTGAGCCCTCAGTGTAGTTACAAAAAGTGTGTCAAACTCCACATATGCCCTCCAGGGAAGTTTCTTTACTGGCTCAGTAAAGTATTAGAATATAGCTACAGTATATTTAAGTTGGTACACAGTACATTCCAGCATGACTTTTTAGTCAGTAATTATTTCAAAACAGCAGTTGATGGTGGTGTTTTCTATTTTTAGCCAGTGATTTTGTTGTGTATCACAGACTAATGGCTATTGATGCTGGGAAACTCCTGAACTGGAATTTTGATTCTTTTAGTACAGAATTTTACAGAATTAAAGAGGACCTGGAATTACTGTTAATGTGATTTCAGAAGGAAAAATGAGATACAGAGAAAGCTGGAAAACTTACTCATCCTGATTTCTGTGGTGTTGTGACTATACTGTCACTGATATGTTTCTTACTCATAGTGTTGACATGACTTGTTTAAGGAATCTGGATCCCAGAGAATACAGATGCTGACATCTTAGTTAATAATGTTTTGCAGGAGATTTTCTCCTGCAAACATTATGTATTTGTAGAAATGTTTTTCTCAAAGTTTTCCTTGATTAATACAAATCCTAGAATTTTGGCCCCCAAATTAGAAGGGGTGGGGGGCAAGAGAAGAGAAGTAGTAGTGGTAAGGATGAAATGGAAAGAGGGAGAATGAGTCTGCCTGTGGGGGGAAGGAGTTTGCCTGTTAGCACTGGAGAAGTTGCCAGAGCCCCATTCCAAGGTAATGCTGTGAGACAGGGCTCCTGCAGCTGCTGGTCAGTCACAGAGGAAGAGACCTGCATGCCCCTTGGTTTACATATCTATCATGTCAATTTGTAAATAAAGCAGTTTGAAGAAGCTCTTTGTGCTAGTTTATTTTCACTCAGTCCTTGCAGTGTGTGTCTTGGCAGTTTCCCAAAGCTACAAAGTAATGAGGCTTTATCAAGAGTTCACTTGAACTTTCCATCATTGTTTAGTGGAAGGGTTATGGAGCTGTCCTGGAAACACTCGCACACGCAGAGCCAACAAAGCATGGCAGGGGATTGTTTTGGAGAATTTGGAGAAATGTTTGAAGATTCTTTAGGTACTGGTGTTCACCACAATGAAGAGCCATTACCTTGAAAATAGGAAGTCAGAGAAAGGCTTAATGAGGACAGATAGCATCGGACAATTGAGGAAGAACTTTTTGAAGTAAATGCTTTTAAAACCACTGATAGCTCTAGCCAAGGTTAAACAAAATGTTCATTCATATGTGGTGTATCTTTCTTTCCAGAAGAGTTCCCATTACTTTTATAGGTCTGAATTGAAGATAGTGTGAATATTCCAGTTATTCATCTATCACCTAAACATGCATGAGGTTTGACTGTATCAAGAATGTGCCAGGAGCCAGAGACATTGTGACATGCTGATAGACAGATACACAGCAGAGAGAATGATGAGCTCATTACTCCTAAAATACTTGTTGAAAAGATGTGATAATATTTGATAATACTAGTTCTTAATGTAGTTGACTGATAGTAAAACTCCTTGTGGAGAAGCAGAGAAAAAGCCATGTAGAGTTCCTTTATAAGGAGCAGATAAATCAGTCAAAGAATTTAAAAGTTTTTTGATGTTCCAAATGCTGTAAAAAGGCTTCTCCATCTGCTTTCTGGTCTTCTTGCATCATATTTTTGTTCCAGAACTAAGAGGTAAGTGTTTGAAAATACAGTCAATATGGAAGATGATCATTCTCCCCTTCATATATTACTGTTTGGTCTTTTATTTTCAAGAGAATACTATGTGGGAGAGCAAGGGAAGGAGTTCTGCAAAACTTGTCTCTAATATTGGTCTTTCAGGACCAAGGCTAAATGTATGTAATTATCTGTGAACTATAACTTCATAGAGAGGATAATTGTGAAACAAACATGACCCATCACAGTAATCGTGCTTACTTTGAAAACAATGCAACATTGCACTGGAACAATTAATGGTGTTCAAAACACTTCATATTTTAGAATCAGCTGGCATCTGGCAGTGTGCTGATTCAATTTGTCAGCATTAAGCTGAATTCTTAAAATAGAGAAATGGAAACTTCCAACTTGCTAGCAAGTAGAACACATCCACAAAGGTTCTTTGCCTTTACCTGTCAGGGTTTCTGTGTGTTAAACCTGGTGGTTTGGACCATTCTCTGTGTGTTATCCACAACTGTGGGCGGGAAGCCAGTTTGGTGTAGCTGCTGGTCATTTTCCAGGAGTTCATCATCTCTTAACAGACAGTCATCTCTCCCTCCCAGAGAGGTAATAATAATTTCAAAGCTATCAGACACTGTAATTATCAGCGGCCATGATAGGTGCTGCTAATAGCAGTGGCAGAGAGGGTTGTGTCGGTGCTGTGTGTTTATCATTTCCTCCCTGCTCAATCACAAGCCTCCCCGTGGTGCCTGGGCAGTAATATCAGTAGCAGCTGGCTGTGATTTCCCTCCCTTGTCGGGCTGCCGGAGCTGCCCCCGCCCAAGGACGGCAGAGCAGCTCATCCTATGAATGAGTCTGCAGGCAGTAATGTCAAGTGGCGACTGAGAAAAAGGGGGATTTTCCTTGGAGAATCTTTCCAGTCAGACAGAAAGTTCAGCTAATTGCAATTTAAAGTTCAAACCTCCGTGACTGTTTCCTGCATAACTAAACCTGCAGTCATTTTTTGAGTCTGTGCTTTCAATTAGGAACATAATTGAACTTTCTTTTGTAAGCAATGGCTTTGGGACTTTCCAGTTCCTCTACATGAGAACACTGGCAACTTTATATAATGCAGCTGTCTTATTTTGGTACAATAACCTTTAATTCTCATATTGTGAAACATTAGAAAAAACCCACCCCAAACAACAAAAAAACCCCAAAAAACCCTAAAAAGAGTTGAAGGATAATCTACAGTTATAGCCCTTAAAAACACAAAAGCAGAAGCAGGGTCTGCTAATTCATACTAAAAATCACAGAGGCAACCTGAATTCTACTTACATTTGGAGTTTGTATTTGAAAAATACTTTGCTTCACTTTTTTTTTTTTTCCTCTTTTCTCTTGATGATTGATGTAGCTTAGTAGCTGGAAACTCTAAGAGACTGTGTTGTGTCTTAAAAAAAAAAAAAAAAAGAACACGAGACGTGCAGCAGCTGTGTTAAAACTTCATCTCTCTGCTAGTGATACTGTTCCAGAAGCAGTGTGAGAGGGTTGTAAAAGAGGTTGCCAGGGTACATACTGACAGCTGCCCAGGAAAAGGGCATTAGCCTGCAATCCTCAGCTTCACAATTAGTGTTTTGCTAAACACCTGCTTTCATAAATAAGATGGTGCCTCTGACAGAACGTATAATAGTGAAAAAAAAACCTACCATGGCACAGCTTTTGTTAATTATGTATGTCTCACAGTGACAGCATGTTAGCAAAACAGGTTCTCAGAAGTACATTTCCCTAGGGGGCTTTTTTATTGTTATTTTTGTTAATGGATAGGTGTCTGTAAAGAAGCAGGGTGTGGTGTGTGTGGGTAGTTGTAATGAATAGTTTCTTGCAGATTTCCCATACAGAAGTGAGAGGTTAACTGAAGCTCAGTGCATGTTCTCAGTGGGCACCCAGGCCCCTGTGAGCAGATGTGAGGGAGTGC